CTTTCCGGCCCTCAACCGGCTGTTTGGCGGCTTCGTGCGCGTAAAATGCATCATTCTTGTTCTGCTCGAGTTCAGCGGACTGTGTACCGTGCTGCGTGTGCTTGTCCTTTGCCTGCTCAGCTGCGGTCTTGATTTCTTCGCGCCTCTCAAGCCGTCCGACATGTTCGGCACCTTCGGCACCAGCAATGCGGTCTTGCTCCTCTTTCAGCGTGTTCTCGAGCCTCTTGATGGTCTGTCTCCGCTTCTTCACTTCCTCCTTGATGTCGCGCTGTTGGTTGAGTACATTCAAAAGATCATCCCTGTTGGTGTCGAACTTTGCCTTGTGAGCAGCATGCTCCTCTTGGTGAGGCTCCAGCTGCGTGTTCAGCAGGGCAAGATTGCGCTTCGCAGCTTCTGAGGACTGATCGTGCCCATCGTACGTGCCGGATATCGTCTCGGCCTCCCCTTCTTTCTCCCTCACGCCGTCTGCTGCCTCCTGGACCTCCCGCTCATACTCTGCCAAGAATTTCTCTTGCTCCTCGACTTGAGCCCAGGCATGCTCATGCTGCAACTCTTTGATTTTCGCTACCAGTACACGTGTGGCATCAAGCCTTTTCTTCCTCTTTTCAGCTTCCTCCGCCTTGCTTTTCAACACCGCAATGTCATCCTTCCTGCTGCGAAGCTTGGCTTCGATATTGTCATAGTGCTCCTCAATCAGCTTGTAGTCGTTATCCAGCATCTCGAGCTGCGTGCCGCGGATGAAGAACTTGTACTTTTCCGTGGGGCTGCTGTTTGAGAGGAATTGGCGCGCCTTGTCTTGCGACAGGACGTTGATCGGATTGTCCAGCTGGAAAGCGAAGAAGTCCAAGATCTCGTCAAGGTCGGCCTTCTTGGTGCTGATGGTCTTGTCTTCTGCATTCTTGAGCTTGAAGCCGCTCCCGCCGCTCTTGGAGAAGTGACGCTCGACAGTGATGCTGCGCCCATAGATGTCGGGCTTGAACGCGGCGTCTCCGTGGTTCTTGATCTTGACAGCAAGCGATGCGCTCTCCTCGCCTTCCTTGATCATGCTCTTGAGGGAGGCACCGCGGTTCGTGTCCTTGGCTGAGCCGCCCAGGCACATTGTCAGTGCCGTCAGCACCGCGCTCTTCCCGCTGCCATTGTGGCCGATGATGAAGTTGATCAGCGGACCGAGCTTGATCCGGAGTTTCGAGTGGCACATGAAGTTGCGGCAGAAGACCTCCTCGACCACGCCTTGCTCGGATGCGACGTTGTCGCGGTGCTCGCGTATCTGCTTCTCCACAATCTGCGTGGCGCGTAGCTCATCGATCTCCTCGTCCTCCTCCTCTGCCTCGCTGTCGTCGGGTGTGCCATCCACGAAGCCGCTGTCGCCGCCGTAGCCGTCGGGCTCGTCGTCATCGTCGTCGTCCGAGACCACCGAGCCGCCATTCGCGGCGGCCAGCGCGATTTTGGAGCGCTTGGGCACGGACTGGCGGAAGCTGGAGGTCGCGCTCTCGATCTCGACCTCGCCGTCAATGTCGTTTATGTCTCTGCCGCGTTTGCGGGAAGACATGTCGACAGGTGTGGTCTCGGAGCTGAAAGGAGAGGAAGCTGGTGTTTGGGCGGTTCCGCGAAATTGCGCGAAGATGGACTGGCTCATGCTGGCGGCGAGGCACGGCAATGACGCCGCGTTGGAGGGTACAAATGGCAAGAGCGACGCGTGAACTTCCGTGAAGGCGCGTCTCCGCGTAGCGGGCAATGACTTATGCAGTTGCCAGAAGTCGCGGACTAAAGTGAACCCTAGAGGCTAGAACAGGCCTTCGCGACGGCAACCCATACTCCCCGCGGTGTCTTTGCTACATATGCAGCCGTGCTTGATGCCACTCTCTGACGCCCAGAGAGTCTGCGACGATGGTGATGCACTTTCATAACATGCTAGAGCATGTGATAAGCCAAGGACAGTGCGACCTTGAGGGCAACGCAGCTATTACGGAGGTATTCGGTCATTGCGAGTTGCAGCTCCCCTTCTCACACTGTTGCTATAAGTGCCTTCATCCACATTTTGTCCATCTGCCATAGAATCTCATAGCCTGCTTCACATCACCGCCGAAAAAATCTCGCAGTCATGGCGCCCAAGAAAGTCCTCATAATCGTTGCCGATGCCGACCACTTCCCCATGAAGAAGACTTCCGGCCAGGATGCAGGCCAGGATGTCATCCAACCATCCGGCTACTTCCTCATGGAACTCGCAAAACCACTCGGCAAGTTGCTGGACGCCGGCTACGAGGTCACCTTCGCATCGCCCGAAGGTAAAGAGCCTGTGCCCGATCCTAACAGCGAAAGCTTGTTGGCATTTGCGGGCAACTTCCATGAGCGCAAGCGCGAGAACGAGCTCATGGACCGCATGAAGAAGGAGAACGGCTTCTCGGCGCCACGAAAGCTGTCCGACATCTCAGATGAGGACCTGAACGACTTCGCCGGCGTCTTCATCCCAGGTGGCCACGCTCCGCTTACACAATTCGGCGACAACAAGGACTTAGGCCGGATACTGCAGCACTTCCACGAGGAGCACAAGCCGACTGGCGCGATCTGCCACGGCCCGTATGCTTTTCTCTCGACGAAGGTCAGCAACGGCGAGTTCGCCTACACGGGGTACAAGATCACGTGTTGGTCGGACCAGGAGGAGAAGTTGATGGAGACGATGTTGGGTGGCGACATACCGAAGGTGGAGAGCCAGCTGGCAGAGGCTGGAGCGGATATGCAGACGGGGCTGGGCGAGAAGGTGGGCTATGTCACGGTTGACCGCGAGCTGGTGACGGGCAGCAACCCCATTGTGGCGGATGCTTTGGGCAACAAGTTCTTGGAGATGCTGGAGGCGCAGTGAGCTCCCCTGTGCTCCTTTTGTGCGGAGGTCAGCACTCGAGCATGGCTCGAGAATGGCGAGCTCATTGCAGCGTACTCGTATCATTGATGAATTGCACTTTGCCAGAAGTCGTAGCGAATCGAACACGATGCATATACCACCACTCCTGCGTTTCTTGCTGACATGGAGGGACGCAGGCTGCCCTGAATTGTCTAAATTAATCAACATCATCCCCACTCGAGAGTCGGCCTACCTGATGTGCAAACCTGGACTAGTTCTCCGCCCGCGCAAAGTTGCGGCACAGTAGATGGGCTACTGCCTGGGTGATGATAAAGCAAAGTGATAAGAAAGATACGCAGTCTGTCCACCTAAAACCACGCACTGCTCTATCACTGCGTAGCACAACTTTGCATGCTTCACCTAGATCTGACCTCAGTCAGCTGCAAGATAGGTACGTAGGCGGCCCATGTCTATAGGCCAGATGACGTCCAACCAGGTACGCTGCCAGCAAGACAATCGCGTACCGGACGCTGCTGGATAGCATCGCAAACCTTCCAGATATGTATGAGAGCTATGATGGGTAACCTGAGCAGTTCGCGGAACTCCATCTCCACTTACCTCGACCATGCTCTTGGAAGCTGGCAACAACGCATTACCGCATCGAAGATCCCGAGATGATGCACGCGCCTCGCAGACGGGCAGGTGTGTGTTGGTCAGGTATATGTTTCCTAATGGAGCTCCCGCACGAGCTACTTCTCATGGTTGCAGAGTACCTGGTGCCGACCGGTAGAACATTTCACATCTTCCCACGTCTTGGTCATAGTGTGGTGTTAACAGATACGGTACGCGACCTCAGAGCTGTGCACAGCTTTGGCTGACCGGTTAACAAATCCTTGGCTTGAAACTCCGAGAGCATTGCAAACGAATATAACGACGACCGCTCTTGCTTCGGTCTGTCGAAGGTTGGCAGCACTTTACCATCTTCTGCTGTACGGCAAGAACCGCTGGAGCTTCGAAATGGCAATGGACTCGCTCTCGCCCCAGATCATCGGAGAGCATGTGAAGGTGGCAAACATAGTTAGCTGGATTCGGATATCCGATGTGCGAGCTTGGACTTGCGGCCACTGACCGGTTGTACCGCACTGTATGTAAAGCACCTGGTCATTCTGGTTAGGTGTTACCTTGATGGACGGCGGCACGTACCACGAAATTCAACGCCTTGCAGGCCAGCTCCGGCGCTCGGTTGCGATGTTCACCGGATCGCAGCACGGACTCAAGAGTCTTGAAACTGTATATTGCATAAAGGCGCAGGTATACCTCGAACACAGCCGCAGTGCCGCTTAGGCTGCATTGAAAGCCGTGCTGGGTTGAAAGCCGTGCTGGGAGGCTTGATTTGAGCCTGCATCATCATGGCATGGCGCCTGACTCATTCGACTAAAACCCATATGCAATTTGGGAGGTATTGAGGTCGCTGCGAGGCGTGGGAGATGTTCGCCTGAGCGGCATTGGGAGCGAAGGGAATGCAGAAGAGCTCGCTACTTGTATCAAGGCAGCCGCGGTGGTGGTGGTGCCGTTGAAGCCGCGGAGATCCACAGCTTGGGCTGCAAGGCCAGGAGAGTAAACGGCGCTGCCTGCGTCCAAGAAAGCATAGCAAGATAGAGCATATCTCAGGCGTAGATCACTAGGCGTTTCAATGTCAGTGTAAACTTTACGCACGCAAGACCAATTCATTAGCACTCTCAAACCGTAGAGCATAACGCCGCTTTGGCGATCTCATCATCAGACATTCCACATGTGACCTTTCCATATCCTGCAAATCATCGTACTCGTGGCCAGCTGTTGTTGCACGCATAGTAACGGGGCGTTCCGTCATAGCGTTGGCTGACGTTGCCTTCTGACTGCTGCCACTAACGAAGAGGCACGGGAATCGGGATGGCCAATGCAACGTCTGATGGATCCGTGGACCGTAAGCATGTTGTTAGGGTGTCAGCAAGTCTCACGCATGTACAAACCTTGTAGGGCCCTCATTGCATAGCTCTCCTGGTGGGCTTGGCCTACGGATAAGCCTCGGTAATCTTTTATGGCCTATATAAACATATTTTCCTCTGTGGCCTACATCAATCACTGTTCAAGCTCGACCTTGATCATTGATCTGTTTCTCCTCTCCTTAGCTCAGTTGGAAGAGCGCAAGACTGTAATTGAATTCCCAAAGTCATCTTGAGGTCTGCGGTTCGATCCCGCAAGGGGAGATCATCCAATACAACGACTAAACAGTTGTTGTGAACCTTTTTGCGACCGCCAGCTTTGATTGAAGTTTCTGGTCTGGTGTTTCGACAACGCCAAGGTCATTGCGCGGAAAGCTCCGCAGAGCGCGGGGAAGCCGTGCTGCTCAATTTTTGGCCGACGCGAGCCCTGACAGGCAGCGCGTCAAGCAGCAGCACCAAGGCTACACCATCCCGACTCCTTCGAATCCACACCCAATCACCTCAAAAACTTCGCGCTCATTCTCTCCCGACCACTCACCAGCAGCTACCCGACGCGACAAACAAGATGTCCTTCGGCGGACAGACGCCGACGATTATCGTGCTGAAAGAGGGTCAGAAGAGACATTTCGTTTGCGGAAGAGAGCACCGCACCTAACTCCTCACAGGCACCGACCAGTCGCAAGGCCGCGGACAGGTCATCTCGAACATCAACGCCTGCTTAGCTGTCCAGTCGACCATCAAGAGCACACTAGGCCCCTACGGTGGTGACCTGCTGCTCGTAGACGAGAATGGCCGGACCACAATCACCAACGATGGTGCGACTGTCATGAAGCTGCTCGACATCGTACACCCAGCCGCGCGCATTCTGACGGACATCGCGAGATCACAAGACGCGGAAGTGGGCGATGGCACCACATCGGTGGTGGTACTGGCAGGCGAGGTTCTGAAGGAGATCAAAGAGCAGGTGGAGCAGGGCGTCAGCAGTCAGACCATCATCAAGGGTCTGAGGAGAGCGAGTCTCATGGCGGTCAACAAAATCAAGGAGATTGCGGTGAACACGAGCGAGAACAACCAGAGGGATACGTTGAGGAAGCTGGCGGCGACGGCGATGAGCAGCAAGCTGATCCACCGGAATTCGGACTTCTTCACGAAGAGTGAGTGAAATTGTGGAGGTAAATACGGTGTATATGGCTAATGGTGTATACAGTGGTTGTGGACGCAGTCCTTTCGCTCGACCAGGAAGACCTAAACGAGAAGCTCATCGGCATCAAAAAGATCACTGGCGGTGCGCTACAAGACTCGCTCTTCATCAACGGCGTGGCATTCAAGAAGACGTTCTCCTACGCCGGATTCGAGCAGCAACCGAAGTCGTTCCAGGACCCGTCGATTGTCTGCTTGAACGTCGAGCTAGAGCTGAAGAGCGAGAAGGACAACGCTGAGGTGCGCGTGGAGCAGGTGTCAGAATATCAGGCCATCGTCGACGCAGAGTGGCGCATCATATTCGACAAGATGGAGGCGCTGCACAAGACTGGCGCGCAGGTGATCCTCTCCAAACTTCCCATCGGCGACCTGGCAACACAGTACTTTGCAGACCGCGACATCTTCTGCGCCGGCCGCGTCGCTTCCGAGGACCTCGAGCGCGTCTGCCAGGCCACAGGCGCCAGCGTCCAGTCTACATGCTCCGACATCCAAGAAAAGCACCTTGGCACCTGCGCGCGCTTCGACGAGAGGCAGATCGGTGGCGAGCGCTTCAACTTCTTCGAGGGCTGCCCGAAAGCCAAGACCTGCACACTTGTGCTCCGAGGTGGCGCTGAGCAGTTTATTGCTGAGGTGGAGCGGTCGTTGCACGATGCCATCATGGTTGTGAGACGTGCGATCAAAAACACCACGATCGTCGCTGGTGGCGGAGCGTGCGAGATGGAAATCTCCGCATACCTGCACAGCTTCGCGGACAAGAACGTGCCGCACAAGCAACAGTCGATTATCAAGGCTTTCGCCAAGGCGCTGGAGGTCATTCCGAGGCAGCTGTGCGATAACGCTGGCTTCGATGCGACGGATATCCTCAATCGTCTACGTGTGGAGCACAGGAAGGGCAACTTGTGGGCTGGTGTGGACTTCGAGCACGAGGGCATCAGAGACAACCTCGAGGCCTTCGTGTGGGAGCCGGCGCTCGTCAAGATCAACGCTATCCAGGCAGCCGTCGAGGCCAGCTGTCTCATTCTAAGCGTGGATGAGACGATCAAGAACCAGGAGTCGGGGGCACCGCAGGGGCCACAGAGAGGGCTACCGCCGGGCGCAGCACAGCGGGCAATGAGGGGACGTGGGCGAGGCATGCCATCGCGCGGCAGATAGAGTGACGAACTACGCATGGACGGGAATGTACGTTTCACTGCATAGCGGACGGCGAAAGCTGTACACATGTTGTGCGCAGAGTATTCAGCATGGTTTACCGCCTAGCAGCCCGAGAACCTGCTTCTCGATCGGTCTCGGAATTGAAAGAGCTGCGTACATACCTCTTCGTATCCACTGCAGCTCTTGATGATGTATGTTAGTCATTGCTGCGCTTGGAACGCCAAGTCTTGAAGATTCGGGTTGGGAGACTGTGCTAAACAGGATCCTCCGCGGAAGGTGTCAATGGATAGTCTCCACAACATGAGGCACAGTAACCCCTAGTAGATGCAGCATATCGTTGGTTACAAGTCACGACGGATGTCGACTGTCAACATCCGCGTCGTCTAGCCTGCTGCCTGCAGGTGGTCGTTCCAAAGATCCTTCCGATTCCTTCGAGCGAAGCCCTCAGCTTTGGCGTAGCATCGCGTATCAGGCGTTGGTTTCGGAGGTCCTGGACCTGTCGTTGCTCAGAAAGTTGGTGCTTGTCGTAGCGGTCGCTTAGGCACGGGTATCACTGACAATCCTGAGAACGGGTATATAAGTAGCAAACCACGGTGCACAAAGCCTGGAGGCGAGACTGTACGGTGATGCCGTATGCTGATCAAGCACGGTAGCGTATTATATCGTGAGTCCATGAGGGGGATGACCGCTCAACCGAAAGGGTTCCGAGGTGGCGAGACGCCTTTCAGAATTTTACTTGTGAGCAGCAATGGTACGGGTCGCTAGTATAGGTATAAAAAAGAATGATATATCTAGAGCTAGGTATAGAGTCGTAGATAGGGCAAGGACGGATACTATAGGTAGATTATCTTAGCATACGTGCGGGCCTCGACCTACTCGAATACCGAGAGGGCACGACCAAAGGCCGGAGAGTCTTGGACCGTCGGACGGCGACCGTTCTGCGATCTTATGTCGTACTCATTGCTTCAATGCTGTGGCTGCTGCTTTACTGTCACGCGTAACCGAGTGTTGGTGCCTACATGGTCTGAACGCGAGTTTACAAGTCGCCAGACCGGTATCGCCAACATGACTTCTCGGCGACAGCTCTCGTCCAGGTTAATACAACAACAGGTGTGTCCTATCGTCCGGCATCAGGTTGGCACTCGGACTCTCGGAGCGTGGAGGGGCGTGCAAGGTTGTAACCTCGTATCAAGTGGGAAGTAATGATATCGTGACTCGCCTCAAAGCCCGGAACGTTTGCTCTATTTGAGCGAACCCGAGGGGCTTTTGCGGTGCCGGTCAGATTCCCGAAACATGCCTTACCAGCGACGTGAAAGACTTCGATAATCAAGTTCATGTGGGTCCTGACACTTGAGTCCTGAGCTTTATGTGTGCCGTACGGTTGCGTATGAGCCTTGGTGGCGAACTCGTGGGCGTTCTTGAGGCTCGATGTGGGAGTAGCCTCCTTCAATCATCAAGGACAGCAGTGTCAGCACTCAGCAGCACGGATACGCCGATACGGTACATGCAGTGACGTCGACTTCGGGATATCGGCGAACGCGTGGAGGAGTGCCTGTGCTGCGCTCTGGAAGACTAGAAGTGCGTCCGGTTGGATGCATATCGGGTGCACGAGCCGAGTCCCACTTTCGGGAGTCTCGATCTAGTCTAGATCTGAGGCTGGCGTCTCGCCAATCTTGGATCGACGAAATGCGAGATTGACCGAGCTTTCCAGATCTTGTTTCCGCCAGCCGGTGAATTCTTCATGACCTCTCACTGCATTTGAAGGTGCATAAAGGGTTCGCCTCGGCCCCACGTGTGCTGCTTGCTTTTACACTTTGGTCACACTCGTGCTTCAGCCTTGTCCCTGCCTAATCAATCATCATCCCCTCCTTATCCATCACGAAAAACATCAAATCCTTAACTGCAGACTCTTCGCCACGGTTAAGATGCCGCAAGAGAACAACAAGAAGCGCAATCAGCGCACCAAGCGCAAGCACGCCGACGAGGAAGACCCTGCCACTCAGGAGAGCAGCAAGCGACGCAAGTCTACCGACGCCGCCACCGACGGAGCAGATCACCAGCCTCTGCACGTCCACGATGAGTCGCTCGACAGTGCATTCCCCACGGCCGACCGCCCGTTCTTTGGCATGCTCGACGAGGACGAACAAGAGTACTTCAAGCGCGCCGACGACATGCTGGAGACGAACGCTTTCGGCGACGCGGAAGAGCGCGGCCTTTTCCTCTCGAATGTCTATCGCGAGGCACAAGGCAAAGAGCTCAAGATCGCCCAGAGCCAGTCATGTTCGCGTCTGATGGAACGCCTGATCCAGCTGTCCAACGCATCACAGCTGAAGCAGCTGTTTCAAGCATTCAGCGGAAAGTAAGTCATGCCTGGAATGCACTCACGTGTTGCGGCCCATAGCTAACCAATATCACAGCTTCGTCCATCTGTTCTCCCACCGCTTCGCATCGCATTGCTGCCAGGCCCTGTTCTTGCGCGCTGCACCTACAGTCACCGAAGAGCTCCTCGCACCAGCCGTGAAGTCTACGAATGGCATCCAGGACGCATCTTCACCAGACGATATCTACGTGTCGATGGAGAATCTATTCCTGCACACCCTTGTCGAGCTAGAAGGCAGCGTTGGCTACTTGATGACCGGTCAGTACGCTTCGCACGTCCTGCGCGTTCTGCTGCTCGTCCTATCTGGTGAACCACTGGACCAGGATTCGACAAAGCACCTGTTACAGAGCAGAAAGAAGGAGACAGTCACGGTCCCGGGGGCCGACCAAGCGAGCGGTGAAATTGCGGAAAAGTCGAGAAGCGTGCCGAAGTCGTTCACCGAAGCGCTTGAGAAGCTCATTGCCGAGAGTGTGGCCGGACTCGATACCGAGCAGCTTCGTGCACTCGCCACACATCCCAATGCGAACCCGACC